CTCGTATAGCTGTCCTGGAAGACTCTTTGGGAAAGCCAGTTACTTATGGTTTCCTGGAGTCTTCCCGGACGGTGTGCAAATTCCCACCATATGGGGTTTTGTTTTTTTGGTTTTTTTTTGTTTTTCACGTGATGGGGTGTGGTTTGGTTTTTGGTGGTTTCCCCTCGTGTACACTGGTTAGTCTTTCTAATTACTGAGGGGGAAGGAGGGGCTTTTTAAACTTTGTATCAGTATTGTTTCCTGTAGGTAAAAGCTGGTATCTCCCAGGATGGCTACTTGAAAGACTCCTGGAAAGACCGTAACTATGATTTTTAATAGGATAGTGTTGATAAACTGGATCCAGTAGGGGAAGAGTTGGAGGCTGTGGTTCTTTCCAATGTGAGGGCATAGTTTAAAGTGGTTGTAAACCCTTCCGTATACCCAGTGAAGTGTCTATCCTCCGATACACTGATAAAACAAATTCTCCTATATAAGTTGTACCTGTGACAAACATGGGTCAGACACCACTGCCCTTTTTCAGACTTGTGAGGAATGGCTAGTCAACCTCACCCTGCACTGTCATGGATTTGCAACAATGACACTTGGCCTCACCCTACATGCAAATTTTCCACCTTGCGAGACACACAATCTTAGTGCCAACAGATGGTGGTTAATTGCCTAGTTCACTAAACCCAGTGACAATTGCTCTCCAACAACTTTTATTGACTTTGGTAAACGTTCACGACATTAGCAATAGCAATTGACTTCAGAATAAATATCTGTAACATACACTCACCACAAGGGTATATGTAACCTACACTCACCACACGGGTATATCTAGAGGTTTACCATGTATCACCCTTCAAGAGGCTGATATTTAAGTTTTGGGTTCGTACATTAGAGACCATTTTAACCTTGCACTTTACCTTTTTCATTATTAACCTTGCACTTTACCTTTTTCATTATTAAACCATATTTTGAAAACAATATTTACAGAAAGGTATTACTAAGGTAACAAAGACCACACTAAAGCAAAACAAAAGGAATGAAAATGTTTTTCACGTTCTGTTTCAGCAGACTTCAATCAATGAGCAAAATGATACAGTGGCTCTCATAACTTAACAATTCTTCCTCCTTTTGATGGTACTCTAGGTGAGAATGGTACATGTGCCATGCGGTCACACCATTCTGCTTATTAAAAGCACCATTTTGCTTCTGAAGCATCTTGTGAGAATAATCTGGTCTTTTACTGCCTGCCTACAGTGACTGGTCCCCTCCAACCACCTAGGACCCTCATCGGTACCCAGCTGCTGGGGTTTGAGCATGCAAGGCATTACTTCCTGCTGAGCCTATTCAGCTACACAGTTCAAAGTGCCCTTTCAAAAACGCAGAGGGTAGTCTCACTGCAGCTGGGGGACCACAACTCATTCTTTATAGCCTCTTAAAAGTTTCTCAATATCCCCAAAAGTAACTGATGCCTGTAACCTATATCCTGGGAGCCCTATTATAGGTTTGTCCTCATTGGAGGTTATAGCTTGGCAGGATGAAGCTTTTTCCACTCCTGTGCAAAATCCTATTTCGACTTTGTATTTTGTTTGGACACAATTATTGGAGCAATCAGCTCAGAGGCTTTCTGTGCTTTGACCCTACTAGGCTTCAGTCTGTAAGGCCTCTATTACATTCTGGTTCAGTTATTTGTTCCTGAGAGACTGTATTTGAGCAAATTACATAGGACACAGATTAAAGGGAGTTCTTAACATGATGCAATACTTTTTCCCTGCATTTGGAGGATCAACCGGCAGTTCTAGGCCTAGGTTTTTAGAAATTTTATAGCTGCAAAGACTGTACTAAAAACTGTATTTAAAACCACCTTCTAGATGGACAGGAAATGACATGGTCAGGGAGAGATCTGTGGTTCTATAGGTTGTTTCCCTTCAAAAGAACTTGTCAAGTGGTCTCTGCTCACTATAGACACTCATACACTCACTCCTTAACAAGCATACCATCAAACAGGTGACTGGTGTTGCTTTTTAGATATTTCAATGATGGACTCCTACTTGGGTCTCCTTTTGAATTTATTTGGATGACTGTCTTCTGATTGACTGTTGTGTTTTTGTTTTTTGATTTTTTTTTTGTTTTTTTAGGTTGTTTTTTTTAGGTTTTTGCAGTTTGTGCAAAGCTGAGGATCAGTCAAACGTTTGTAGATGCTGTCTAGTGCTAGTAATCTGTATCCTGAGTGGAACTGCCCAGCTTGTAGGATCTTAAATTCCCAGGGAGTGGATTTTTCACCTGTTCTGGTATTTGGTCAAAAACTTCACCCCCTTTTTTTTTTTTTTTTTTTTTTTTTTTTTTGTTTGGGATTGTTGCAAAAGATTTGGTTTGGATATTTTTATTTTAAATTGCATTAGTGTCAAACATGTAGGCTTTCAATACAGTGATCAAAGCAGAGAGCCATCATAAAACAAGAGCTTAAAGACTCACATCTGAAGTACCAGGAATAGAAAATTTGAAACTGCAGATAATCTGCTTCACGTTCAGTATCCCTGAGGTATAAAGATTTAGTGGAATCTAATTTCTGCAGCCATCCATCTACCAGGAATGTAACCAAACCTATAAGCATTAAGCTCATGATAGGCGGTATAGCATCTGTTAGATCAATTTTGCATGTGTGGCGTGCTAAAAGCTGGCTAAGTAATATGAAGAAAAATAGAATGAGGAATTGATCTCCCTTGGTCAGAATCCTGTACATCTCACACTCTAAAGACCACAACCATGGGTTCCAATTATTTGCATTATCCAGGATTAGTAGTTTTGCGATTCAAAAAAAAAAATACTCACTTCGCCTATCCCTCTGCACTAGGCAGGAGTCTCATGACATACTTTCCCAGGCAGGTAATCTTTGATCCCCCTCTTTTCTGATGATTCACAATCTGAACCGTGAAGGTTATGCTTGTGTGGGGTTTTTTTTTCTCTTCTATAAAATTTTCCTGATGATCCTATGCCTCCTTGAGGGGGTATCCTGTAAGGAGGACTTGGTTACCCTGCTGCAGGTGGGATAGAAGGATAGGAGGCTTTGTCCTCGGGCCCCTCCTCTTCTCCATCTATACCTCCTCCCTTGGCAAACTTATTCACTCCCACGGCTTCAATTACCACCTCTATGGCGACGACACCCAAATTTACCTCTCCCACCCCCACCTCACCCCCTCACACTCTGCCCGCATCGCCCACCTCCTAAACGACATATCAGACTGGATGTCGCTCCATTTCCTCAAACTTAACCTATCCAAAACCAAGCTCCTGGTCCGCCCCCCCCCCCCCACCCATCCTCTCCATCACTATTAACAACGCCACCATCTCTCCCACCCCACACGCCTGGGTGTCACCCTGGACTCCCACCTCTCCTCCCTACCCCACATCCAACTGCTATCTAGATCTTGCAGGCTCCACCTCCGCAACATCTCCAAGATACGCACATTCCTCACCCCAGACACCACCAAACACTCCATCTCACGCCTGGACTATTGCAACTCCCTTCTCACTGGCCTACCCAAACCAATGCTATCCCCACTCCAGTCGATCCTAAACTCAGCGGCCAGACTCATCCACCTCACCAAGCGCTCCACATCTGCCTCCCCCCTCTGCCAATCCCTTCATTGGCTCCCGATTGCCCAACGCAGCAAGTTCAAGCTGCTAACCCTGACCTACAAGGCCATTCACAATGCCGCCCCGAACTACATAACTCACCTGATACCCAGATACTACCCTACCCGTGCCCTCCGCTCCTCGCAGAACCTCCTGCTCTCTAGCTCCCTGGTCTCCTCCCACACCCAATTGCAGGACTTCTCTAGGACTCCCCCAATCCATCAGAATTTCACCTACCCTCCTTACCTTCAGGCGCACCCTGAAAACCCTCCTCTTCAGGGAAGCCTACCCCAACCTCACTTAACACCCGACCTCACCTAACAACTAACCTCCTCCACTCCACCCACCACTTCATCCCCCACAGCCATCTCCTCCTGTGCCACCTTTCCCTCCCTCCTAGATTGTAAGCTCAAAAGAGCAGGGCCCTCGAACCCCTTGTGTAGTGTATTGTTACTGTCTTGTCTCATGTTATGTCCCCCTGCTACTGTACAGAGCTGAGCATACCCTTTGGCGCTATATAAATACTGTATAATAATATGGATGCCTTCATGGCATCTGATTCCTGGAATATTGGTCCTCTTAAGTCACTGAGCTGCAGTCTTCTGATGCAGTTTCCTTTGGTCACTGTTTTGCTCTGGTTTACCATTCTATTGCTAGTACTAGGATTTATTCCCCTTTGCACCTAGGAGGATTCTCCTTTAAAAGGACAGGTTAGATGATTCTTATATCTTAAGACAGGTCTGCAGTGTGTCTTTCACACCCTAGAAACACAATTGGGTGTTGTACAAGAACACCCAGACTAGAGGGATTGGTAGGAGTTCTTCTTCTACCAGTTGGGTTCAGGCATATCATCCCTGCCTATCCATCTAACTTTACTATCTTAAGGGTTTCTTTACCATCTTAAGGATTTCTTTTCCCTTTTCTCCATTTCAATTTTGCCGAGGTCTCTCTCAATTCTATTGTTAAAGCTTGGATTAAGACTTAGGGCAGTGGGAGATTCATAAAGAATACACTTAACAGACAACCAAGTCAGGGTTAGACTTGTTCAACTGAGGCCTTTGGCTATTGGCTGGTTAGTGTTCTCTGGACATCTTTGTTCACTTCCTGAAGTCAAGGGTGGTAATGCAAGGCTTATCCCTTTCCCACAGTTGTTAGACTGGTGTGTTTTTGTTTTTTTTTTTTTTCTTTTTCCTATTAGTCTTCTGTTCAGGTAGTGCGCTGTTGCAACTTGTATTTTTTTTGGTGGATGATTGGTTGGACCTCCACTTTGCTGCAGATTTAAGCCCATAACTGTCAGTTAACCATTTGAAATGGCGTGTGTGTTTTGTAGAACACTAAATTATAGATTTTTTTTTTCTCCTTCTACCTGTGCCCCTAAGACACCCGCCCTCCGTACTATTGGAAATATAGTTACCGGAACAGACAAGCAGACCCAGGTGGCCATTGATGCAGGAGTCCTCTCTATCCTTTGTAGGCTACTTCGACATCCTAAGCCTAGTGTCCAGAGGGAGGCTGCATGGGCTCTTAGTAATATTGCTGCAGGACCGGCTCCACAGATTCAGCAGCTCATAACTTGTGGCCTCCTTGCTCCACTGATTGATATTCTCAAAGAGGTAAATACAAAAGTTGATAGGTTATATAAATATACAGTATGCAACTTTAAGTAATTTTGTTAAATGTTTTTTTTTTTTTTTCTACATTAGCAATTGTGATTCATTCCGTGTGGGTTTGTTTCTGTTTTTTGTTTTTTTTTTTTTGTTTTTTTATGCTACTGTTTGGTGAAATAAGATGGTCTCTTGCACAGTCATTATGCATTTTCAAAATCACAAGGGGAGAAGGTCATTAAAACCCATAACTCTGTACAATCCTGAAGCAGACTCTGTACAATTCTGCCTTGCCCTACGCTTTAACTGGGTCATTCTTCCTTTTCAAGGGGGAAAAGGATTTGAAAATGCATCATGACTTTCAGCAAGGTAAGACTGTCCAAATTTCAGGTTAGCTTTAGCTGAGTGGTTATGCCATTTTAGGTTTACAGTATTCCTGATTTAAAGGGGGCCATTTTTGGCCCCCAAACTGCAGTGGCTGCCCTGCTTGATCACATGAGCAATTAGAAAACCAGAGTGCCAAATGATGGTAAATGAGTCTACATAAAACTATTTGGAGAACCCCATCAGGGACTGCCAGTCAGACTTACTGGAACCAATGAGCTCTATGAATTGCTTGTTTATGTTCAAATGATGGAGTTTTTGTTCTTTAATCTCTTGGATATTTTGGGTTTAAACTAAAATTGGGCTGTTTTGTTCAAGCTACTGATGTTAGACATGGGCATCTAAAGCAGGCCATGCACAAATCTAGTTCATATCAATGTGTATATTTGTATGAAGATTTGGTACATTCAGTGACTTGAAAACTTTTTTTTTTTTTTCTTCAAAAGTACTCTAAAACTTCATTTTGCATTTAACATTCAATTTTGGAATGAAAATCATATATAGTTAAAACATTTTTAGTTTTTTTTTTTTTTTTTTTTTTATGCCATGAACTATTCGAAAATCCAGCAAGTGTTCTTGGAACAAACTTTGACACTTCTACTAGTGTGTTGCCAGATTAAGCTTCACAAAGCTCTGGTTACAAAAGGGATAAACAAGCAAGATTCCCTAAAGGATTAAATAATTTTTTTAAAGTAAAAGCACATACTGTCTAAATATTTTACTTTTACCAACAAAAATGGGGTAACTTGTTAAACCTTGCTGAACTCATCAAATTGCTTTAACCAAAAGCTGCAAATACACACCTGTTTAAAATGATAGATGTGTGTGATTTGCATGAATCTATCTCCGTAAGTCTTTGTACCTGGCACAAGTTAATATCCATAAGTGAATGTGCCTTTTTATTTTCTAGGATTTAATATATATTTTTAATTCGCTAAATGTACATGCATAACCCTTTTTATTTTCCACTTAGGGTGAATTCAAAGCTCAGAAAGAAGCAGCATGGGCAGTGACAAATTACACAAGTGGAGGTACTGTAGAGCAAATAGTACAGCTGGTACATTGTGGGGTGCTGGAACCACTGCTTAACCTCCTAACCGTCAAGGACAGTAAAACAATATTGGTTATCCTAGATGCCATTTCAAATATATTCCTGGTAAGTGTCCATAGACTAAGAGCGGTGTATTCTTTAGTCTTTTGCATAGTGTGTGTGTGTGTGTGTGTGTGTGTGTGTGTGTGTCTTTTGACAGCTGGAGTCATTTTCTCTAGAGGTGCTATGAAAACAGGTTACATAATAGGAATTGAATAACAAATATTGAATATGTATTCTCAACATGGATTGGCAAGTAAGCTAAAGTGTAAGAAGCCGAGTTGGTAGGAAAAAAACAAACTTTCAGCTGTAAAGTAGTGACCATAGCATATATCTCCACTTCAGAGACTTGTGACACTTCAAGTGTCAGAGCGAAAGCTTTAAACTTGATAGACACGTGAACCAGAAAATTGTGGTAGGGAAGACAGGAAAACAAAGTGTAAGAGGATTTCCATGACCTCCCCACAGAACTGGAACCAACCCCTCCTTGCACCCCCACCTGCTCAAAAACCAAGTTACAGAAACACTCGTCATTGAACTCTTATGCCACAGCTCCCAGGTTTTCTATTTTCACTCCATTAGTTTTATTAGGAGGCTAAACTACTCTATCCTTTGACATCCCTGATCCAGACGAATAGATCAATCAAGGAGGGAGGTTCAGTACATTTCCATTCAAGGGCAACTAAACATTTTACCACTGTACGAAGTATATGCATTACTAGTTTTGTAGCAAATTTAGAGAAGACAGCCGAGATAAATCCAAAATGTGCACTGAGTGAAAGGAATCAAGGAGTCAACATCCAATATAAGACTATGCACAGATCTCAAAAATGGTATTAGAGGGCACTACCAATAAATATGTTGAAGGGATCCTAATCGGAGTTTTGCATTGCCAGTATCTACTAACAGAGATGGTGTATTTACAGTTCTGGGGTTTGATACTAGTGAATGTATTTTTGTGAAAATTGTGTACAATATACAGAGTTTTTAGAAGCTTGAGACCATATGGTTTGCCAAGACTCAAAGGTAATTCTTCTCCCAACATCCCCCCCCCCCTTTCCTTCCAAGTATAGTTTCCCACTATTTTATATAGGAGTATTTAATTGGAGAGTCTGAGGGAGGAGCTATGAGCATTTTTGTAGTTATAGGAACATAAGCATTTACAAGAGGGGCCTGCATATAGTGATCAGACATGGTTAATTTCGGGATTTGTGATTTGGATAGGTGGAGTAAAATGTAGGTAGCCATAGAATGCGCTGCAATTGTTTTTATGTATAACTTGAAGATCCAAGAGATTTATCTATTATAGGTACTTGTATAGCACCGTCAATTTACGTAGCGCTTTATATACAGTGAGGAACAGAAGTATTTGAACACCCTGTGTTTTTGCAAATCGTTGCTTAGAAATCATTGAGGGGTCTGAAATTCACATTGTAGGTGCATTCCCACTGAGAGACAGAATTTAAAAAAAATCAGGAAATTACATTGTATGATTTTTAAAGAATTTGTCTTGCACTGCTGAACATAAGTATTTGAACACCTGAGAAAATCAGTGTTAATATTTTGGTACAGAAGCCTTTTGTTTGCAATTACAGAGGTCTAACATTTCCTGTAGTTCTTGACCAGGTTTGCACACACTGCAACAGGGATTTTGGCCCACTCCTCCAGACAGATCTCCTGTAGATCTGTCAGGTTTCGGGGCTGTCGCTGAGCAACATGGAGTTTCAGCTCCCTCCAAAGATGTTCTATTGGATTTAGGTCTGGAGACTGGCTAGGCCACTCCAGAACCTTGATATGCTTCTTACAGAGCCACTCCTTGGTTATCCTGGCTGTGTGCTTCGGGTCGTTGTCATGTTGGAAGACCCAGCCACGACCCATCTTCAATGCTCTGACTGAGGGAAGGAGGTTGTTCAAAATCTCACAATAAATGGCCCCATTAATCCTCTCCTTTAATGCAGTGCAGTCGTCCTGTCCCCTTCACAGGAACGCACCCCCAAAGCATGTTAGCACCCCCATGCTTCACAGTAGGGATGGTGTTCTTGGATGCAACTCATCCTTTTCCTCCAAACACGAGTGAAGTTTAGACCAAAAAGTTCTACTTTGGTCTCATCTGACCACATGACTTTCTCCCATGCCTCCTCTGGATCATCCAGATGGTCAATGGCAAACTTCAGACGCGCCTGGACATGTGATGACTTGAGCAGGGGAACCTTCCGTGCAATGCATGATTTGAAACCATGACAGCGTAGTGTTCTACTGACAGTGACCTTTGAAACTGTGGTCCCAGCTCTCCATGTCATTGACCAGCTCCTCCCTTGTAGTTCTGGGCTGATTCCTCACCATTCTTATCAGTGATACCCCCACGAGGTGAGATCTTGCATGGAGCCCCAGTCCGAGGGAGACTGACAGTTGCTCCAACAGTTGATCTATTTTCACCAAGCTGCTTGGCAATTGCCCCGTAGCCCTTTCCAACCTTGTGGAGGTCCACAATTTTGTTTCTGGTGTCTTTTGACAGCTCTTTGGTCTTGCCCATGGTAGTAGTTGGCATCTGACTGTGGGGTGGACAGGTGTCTTTAAAAAGCTCAGACAGGTGCTACTAAGTTAGATTAATGAGTGGAGTAGAGGTGGACTTTTTAAAGGCACAGTAACAGGTCTTTGAACACCTAAGAAACAGCAAGAATTCTGGCTCTCAAATACTTATGTTCAGCATTGCAAAACAAATAATAAATTCTTTAAAAATCATACAGTGTGATTTCCTGAATTTTTTTTTTTTAATTTCTGTCTGAGTGGGAATGCACCTACAATGTGAATTTTTGACCCCTGCATGATTTCTAAGCGGGAGAACTTGCAAAATCACAGGGTGTTCAAATACTTCTGTTCCTCATTGTATATATTGTGCATTTACATCAGTCTCTAACCCTCAAGGGGCTTACAATCTGAGGTCCCGAACTCATTCATACATACTAGGGCCAATTTAGACAGGAGCCAATTAACCTACCAGCCAGGGGCGGACGGACAACTCATGGGGCCCCTGTGTCCTTGCCCAAGCTTAAAAAAGCCTATGAAAAAGGTACCGGGGCATCTCATGGGGCCCCCTACTGCCCTCGGGCAGGGCCTGAGTTTCCAAATGGTCAGTCCGCCCCTCCTAACAGCATGTCTTTGGAGTGTGGGAGGAAACAGGACTAACTAGAGGAAACTCACGCAGGCACAGGGAGAACATGAAAACTCCAGGCAGGTGGTGTCGTGGTTGGGATTCGAACCAACGACCCTAGTACTGCCAGGTGGAAGTGCTAACCATTTAGCCACTGTGCTTTTAGCCACTATTCTAATTAACTAGCTGCCGACCGCAGATAGCCGAATGACGGCTGCACTGCGGCCAGCCAGTTCTGGGTGGACGTCATATGACGTCCTCCCAGAACGCGCTCTCCTGCGCTCCCTAGGGGGCGCGCACCCGGCGATCTCCGTGATAGCTGTGTCCTACGGACACAGCTGATCACGTGATGTGGTAAAAGGCCAATCACAGTGGCCTTTTACCACCTGATCAGCGGTGTCCAATGACACGCTGATCAGAGGGAAATGCAAGTGCCGGTTCTCGGCTGCACTTTCCTCACGCTGTCAGATCGTGAGGAAAGTACTGCCGAGAACCGGCAGTTGTCAGAGCGGGGATCGGCACCGATCATCAGGGCTCTGATGATCGGTGCCCAGCAGTGCCACCCGCAAGTTCTGAGCAGCAGTGCGCCCACTAGCTCCGCCCACCTGTGCCCAGCAGTGCACCCACCTGTGCCACCTACCTGTGCCCACCAGTGCCACCCACCTGTGCCCGCCCACCAGTGCCACCCACCAGTGTAGCCCAGCAGTGCTGCCAGTCAGTGCCCAGGGGTTGTGCCAGTCAGTGCCGCCAGTCAGTGCCCAGCAGTGATGCCAGTCAGTGCCGTCTATCAGTGCTGCATATTATTGCCGCCCATCCGTGACCCCTAATTAGTGCCGCCTATCCGTGCCACCTCATTAGTACTGCCTATCAGTGCCCTTTAGTGCTGCCTATCAGTGCCGCCTATCATTGCCCATCAGTGCTGTCTCATCAACGCACATCGGTGAAGGAGAAAAAATACCTGTTTGCAAAAAATTTGAAAAAAAAAGTCTTTCTTTTATAAAATTTTTCACTTTTTTTTATTTATAGCAAAAAAAGTAAAGCGCCCAGTGGCGATTAAATACCACCAAAAGAAAGCTCTATTTGTGAGAAAAAAATGATCAAAATTTCATATGGGTACAATGTTGCTTGACCGCGCAATTGTTAATCAAAGTGCGGCAGCACTGAAAGCTGAAAATTGGCCTGGTAAATAAGGGGGTATAAGTGCCTGGTAGGCAAGTGGTTAATAATTATACACAGATGATAGGATGTAGGATTCCCATTCTATAAATAGAAATTGGTGCATAAGCGAGAATTCCAATCCAAAAAGATCAATACCTTCCACACAAATGAATTGGCTTCTTACCAGAAGGTCTGACCGCCCAAAGGGTTGACCAGCATAAGCAGTGTAATATATCCAGATGATACTGTAACCAGTTTTCAGTAGAAGTCACTTCCAGAACATTCAAAGATGCTTCTCCAAATTAAAATTGAGTAGCAAACTGCCTTGCTTGTGTTTTTCTTGTATTTCCCTTCTTTTGTCTCTGTGGTCTACCCTCTTCAGGAACTAGGTTCCCTGGAATACAGTCTTGCCACTGCAAGGCTTAGCTTGTACAGTGTAGGTACTCTGAGGGGGTTATTTACTAAAGCTGCATGGTACAAAATCTGGTGCAGCTCTGTGAGGTAAATACAAGGAGAAACACACAAGCAAGCCAGTTTGCTACTCAGAATTTTAATTTGGAGAATATCTTTGATTGCTCTGGAAGTGATTTCTATTGAAGACTGGTTGCAGTATCAGCTGGATATATTATGCTGGCTGACTCTTTGGGTGCTCAGCTCTTTTGGTAAGAGGTCAATTTATTTGGGCGGAAGCTAATGGTCTTTCTGGATTGCAATTCTTTCTTATGCACCAATTTCTATTTATGGGAATCCTACATGG